GAAGAGTAGGATCGTCAAGAAAAGGCAAAAGTTTTTTTATTATAAGTAGATGAAAGTAAAAACTGACTGACCGACCGACCGACCGACCGACCGACCGACCGACTGAGACTGACTGACTGACCGACCGAGACTGACTGACTGACTGAATAAATAATCAAGCACAAAATCAGTCTGTCAGTCAGTCAGTCAATCAATCAATCAATCAATCATCGTTTAGCGTCCAGAGACTCAGTTCTCCTCTAGGTAGGACGTTGTTTTTTTGCCATCAATTTTTCGCGCCATCAATTTTATTGCAAACTTTAAATAGTCTGAATTTTTAAAAATTGGGCTATATAAATTTAATTGATTGATTGTTAACAAATTTACAGAAGATTTATTAACGTAGAAACTTTATTAGAAATTGGAATTCAATTACGGGGCATTCAATAATTATGTCACGCTTTTTATGTCATTTAACCCTTTTTAACCTTTTTTACCCCTTCTCCCTGTCACATCCTGTAACGCTTGGCTGACCCCCCAAATAATTATGTCACACCCGACTATCCCCCCATTCTACGACTTTTAATCTATTATTATTAATAGATTATAGATAACATCATGACCTAAGTACAAATTTTTAAAATCAGAATAAAATTGTCTCGTAACAATCCAGTTCATGTTCATGGCTAATTCTACAGTTTGGTTTACCCTGTTGCCAAATGTTGCTTTGTTGTAACCAATAAAACGTGTGTATCATTGCTAGCATAGTTTTTATTTAATCCCGTACACACAAAAAATTATGTTTTATTTTCTGCTGCTTAATTTTAAAATTGAAGAGTAAACGATAAAAACTTGAAAATTGCGATAGAATAAATATGTCTACATTATTAAAATATTCCCTAAGTTGTGATGGTCCATACACATCACCTAACATTGATGAGTCTTTTCACCAATGTCAAAAGTGCCCCACATCTATGTCTATGATATAAGTAGCTTTCATATTAAAATAATTTTTAGAAAAAAACTTCCTATCTGAGGCTAATATGGCACATCATGGAAAAACAACAACAACACACGTTTAGACGACATTTTCCCCGAGATCGGGGGTTGACGTTTGGCTACCTATGATGAAACCGAAATACCCCTCGACGCCATCCACATCTGTCACTCGCCTCAGTATCACGCAACCCCGCTTTCACCCTGTCCTTCTCTAACTGCTCTCTCCATCCCAATCGCGGACGACCCCTTCCTACCACTCCTTCAACCTCGAACTCCAACGCTCGCCTAATCAGGACCCTTTCATCCCTTCTCAACACATGTCCATACCACCGCAATCTCGATCTCATCAGTCACAATGTACTCATTCAGTCCCATCATTGCCATCAGCTCTGTACTACTCCTCCTATCCTTCACTTTAACCCCACACATCATCCTCACCATAGCTCTTTCAGCCCTCTGCAGTATACTTTCCTCCTTTCTCCTCAACACCCAAGTTTCACCACCATATACCATCGCTGCTCTCACACATGCTTTATATACCCTCCCTTTCATCTTCACTGACCATTTTTTTCCACACAATACCCCACCCAGTTCCCTAAATTTCATCCATCCCACACGAACTCTAGCCGTAACTGCGCTCAAACATCCTCCATCCGCGTTCAGCTTATCCCCTAAATAAACAAAGCTTTCCACTCTTTCAATACCACCACTCAACCCCGTCCTTGCGTCCGTCCTATTAATCACACCATCATGAACACATTTCTTACATTTGAACGTGCCTTCCACTTTTTTCAGTGCCCCCCTCACACCACTACATCTCTTATGCACCCATTTCTGACATCCTATACACAATACCGAGTTAGCCTTCACTCTCCTGTCACATACCCCACAAGGGTCTATTTTACTTATCACTCGCTCCCCACCTTCCCCATTCACCATTACCTTCGTTTTACCAATATTAACTTTTAACCCTTTCTTTTCAATAACACTTTTCCATCTGTCAAATTTTAACTGCAATTCTTCCATGCTATCAGCCATCAAGACTAAATCATTTGCATACAAAATCTCAAATAACAACCCCTCCATTATGTTTCCACACACAACATCCATCACAATTGCAAACAGAAACGGTGATAACACTGATCCTTGAAGCACTCCTACCTTAACACTAAAAGCGTCCAACATCCCCCTTCCAACCCTCACCTTTGTTTTTGCCCTTTCATACAGGGGCAATACCATTTGTCATGGCCCATCATGGAACAACATTTTAATTTGTATAGTGAAGCATTTCTTTAAAAAATACAATCAAATGCCATTAGAAGGTTAGACCCATAAAAATTCTATAAAATTTACTCACAAATTATACTATAATTATAAGCACTGAGTGACATGTATAGCCGCACATAAATACCAGAAAAACTTACCAACTACGTCCAGAAATTTTTCATCAATTCATTCAGCATCTTTCATGTTGTTGTCATCAACTCTCTCTGTCTTCTTGCAGTTAACTTGACTGGTCTTGTACGTTGTACGGTTTGTTCTATGCCACATATTCGGGTGTTATTTTTCAAGCTGGTCAGTAAAACATAATAAAAACCACATTTTTTGCAGACTAAAAATGCATCCTTACACCAATAATTAACTTTTGACCAAAATGACAGCAGGTTGGCAGCATTATTTTGTTTCACATTGCCTAATTCACAGTTTCTTTTAAGCTAAATCAGTCACATCATCTTTAGCTTTTACACTACACCAAAAGGCATTTGTACTTGACTGCAAAGACTGTGCATTTTTATTTGGACTTAAATGCCTCATACAAATAAAAATATTGCTTTTGTTTATTAATCATTTTGTTTATTTGCTTATACTGCGTGCATAAAATATCTAAAATATTAAAAACTAAAATAGTAGCAGCGGAACTTCGCTGGACAAACCCCTTCCCCCCAGCTTAACATAATCTTTGAATGGCTCCTTAAAGACTAGAAAAAATTGAATAAGTAAAACAAAAATTGGGCGCAAATGATGTAAATTAGTCAAACTCAAGCTGATTTGCCGTAAATTTTTGTTGGGTGACTGTTTAGATAGTCTAAGTATAAGGTTCCTAATACATTAATTTTTCTGCCGATTTGTCATTGTCCGCCTATTAGCTAGCCAATACAGTTGAGACGGTTGTCAAGAACGTCGTAAACAAGCATCTAGATATATATATATTAAATACTGGCATGTGTTCAATATCAATTATTTAAAATCGTAATTCTGCTTATATGGGGGTTCCGAATGAGTTTTTTATTTTTATTTTTTTATTTAGCTTTGTTTATTTTTTACTTCATTTTTAAATTTTAATATTTTAATTTTTTTTCTTTTGAATAACAATAATTTTTTTATTTAATTTAATCACAACACTGCATTTAAATTTAAAAATTATTTAATTATTAATTGATTAATAAATTAATTTCAAAATTCATTCATTAATTTACATATTATATAGGATAAATTATTTATTATATAGTAATTATAGTTACTAAAAGACTTTTAGTAAAAGTCAAAGATAAATGAATAATTGTGAGATTATTGATGATTGTCAGGATTTCTTATATGTATTTAATTTTATATAAATTTTTTTAAATTGTATATAAAAATAATTATAATAAAATATAAAGAACATGTATAATTATTAATTATTTTATTTTTATTCCTAACACTGGTGCAAAACAGAATATACTATACTATACAGTCAGTAGTCAATCTAGTAAAATTTTGACTTGCAATCAATATGTTTTTGAGTTTGGATAAGGTAAAATAAAAGGGACTGTACATAAAAGATGTCACATTTTTTTGTTACTTCATGACACTACCCTTTCTCATATCACAAACTATCACAAAAACCCCCATTTAAAGCAGCCCTTTTGAAACCAATTTAAAATGTTTTATTTTATGCGAATTATCAATTTCAAATGATGATTGAAAATTCATATCAGCTGCAGCTAACAGTGCTGATTCCAAATAAATATTCATAATTCATGAAAGAAGCAAATTTTTTAACTTTTTTTTAGATAAAATGTGTTGATAAATTTTTATTAATTAAGGGTGAAAATTGAAAATGTGCAAGGCAAAACAGGATGTTACACATGCTTTCACCCATTGCCCCTTGTCACAAAATGTTACGAATTGTTTGACTTTAACTAAACTGCCCCTTATTATGATGTTAAAAAACTTATATGTCATATTAGAGAGTAGTTTTATCTGCATCAAATATACAGGCCAGATAGATCTATTTTTTCTTTTTTCACAGTAGTATAGTAGGTTTTAATAAGTAGACTTTAAATTATTTGTCTAAAATATTATTTTCAAAAAATGAAAACAAAACATTTGAAATGTTTTTTTTTCTTGGTTTTCATTTTTCAAACTGAAACATGTTCAAGTGTAAACAGTAAACATCTTATTTGGTAAAATGTTGTAATGTTTGTTTGTTCTGCTGTTACGTTCAAAAGAATTATAATAATGTTTGTATCAGATCAATTGACTAACATTGGTTTATTTATTGAGAATAATCCAATAAAATTCTTCAAACATTCATACATTTTTGTTGATTCTGTTATTGCTCCAAATTTTAATATCAACAGTTGAAAAAAGTTTCTGAACATACGAGAAATTAAAAACTTTTTAGTGTTCAAATGTGGAAGCCTCTATGCGTTTGCTTTGCTCTCAATCACAGCGATGTTTAATAGTGAGTCAAGAGTTATGAAGTTTTAGATCAATTAAGATCAAAATAATGCCTAAATTTTTGTGTTCGATTAACTCGTTTTGTTTCTTTATTTTGTTTGCCTGATATAGTCAACTAATCAACGAATATTATGAAAATATTATATATTTTTATTACATTTCAATTTTGTCTGCTGTAAAAAGATATTTTAAATGGTCTGCCCAACCAAATCATTTCTTGTTTATCTTGATGTTTATTAAAAGTGTTAAGCTAAATTTTAATGTTAACGTTGTTTTTTTTTCATTTAGTATATCATGATATGGCTGGAATGAGGTGTTTGTCTGGGGTGACTTTTGCTCAAAGGAGGTTTTCTAGTCGTAATTCAATTAATCATGTTGGCATTCAGATGATTTCGGAATCATTAAGAAGCCAACTTTTTGATGGCAACAAAAACTCAAATCATATTAATGTTAAATATTTAGAAGATATAAAATCTCATTTGAAAAAATTCAAAATCCCCTTTGACTCATCCGAGAACTTAGAAGCTATAGATTTGAACATTCCGAAACTGAAAGGCTCTTGCATCGACGATCACTTTAGAAATATTGCACAAAATATAATTGACCCGTATTTAAAGACTCTGGAAAATTTTTTGAGTTCACATTTGCCATTTAGGCCAAAAGTGTGGATGTTAAAACAAGGGTGGACAAAATATGATTCATTGAATGGAAAGTTTTATCCAGTAGCATGTCCCAACGAAGATGCATTAGTGTTTGATTTGGAGTCTTTAGTTTCTTATGGAAATTTTCCTGTTATTGCAACAGCTGTTTCCCCAGGAGCCTGGTGAATTTTTTTATTTTTTATCCTGAAAATTTTTATCAAGATTAAATTTTTCTATAATTATCAGTATAATTTTTTATCACTACTTGTAGTTGAAGTATAGAAATTTTCGTTTGGTTTGATTGTTGTTACATTATCACTGCCACCAATGATTTGACATTACCATCATTCCATATGATATGAATATTGCTACCTTTCAGGTATTCTTGGTGTAGTCGGTACTTATTTGAAAAACCTCAGAAATTGAATTCAATTGCCTATAATGATTTGATTCCCGTTAACGATGAAAACTGCGTAAAGAAATCACTTGTCATAGGGCATAATGTTGGTTTTGACAGGTCTTATATACAAGAACAATACTCATTTGAGGTTAATATTTCGTGTTTGTGATGTCATCAACCGTTTGCAACTGTTCTTTTTGTAGTGGCTTGATTTCATTTTTCATATTTTATTTACTATTGTTTTTTATTTCACTTTTCTTTTGATGTTTTGCTGTAATTTCTAGTCAGGTAGATTGTTTAATTGCGTTTCATCACAAAAGATTTTTATTCGTTCGTTTATTCAAATTCAAAAGATTTAAAAAAATTATTTTTTCTTTATTTACGTTTCTTTTATTAGCAAAAAAAATATTTTTATTTAATTTTAAAAATTAAATGTTGCCAATTTTTCACAAATAAATTCACAATTAATCGACTTGGTATGGAGGCAGATAAAATTGTACGCAACGCTAAACTTGATTCGCATGTTGCTCCAATAGCTTTTGACATTTTTATGGCATGTTGAAAGTGATTTCATTTTGGTCAACGCTCAAACGAATTCAAAACTTTTCGTCTTGCACTGTATTTTTAATTTTTTCATTACAATTTCATGGCTGATGCAATTGAAAGTTTCTGACAAATCCAAAAAGATTCTTGCTGTTTAATTTTTTTCAGCAATCAATCCTATCTATCATAATTTATGGTAATTCAGTTGAATGATAGTATCCAGATTATCATAATTGTATTTTTGTATTTGTATTTGATGACTTGTATAGCGCCCCTCCAGAATGACATCAGAAGCGCTAGCGTTTCTTGAACATCCGTCGATCCATGCTGCTGAATCTTTTCAGATCTGTTGGCAATGCATTCCAAATTTGAGCTGGCGACACCGAAAATCTTCTTCTTCCAAAGCGTGAAGATTTGTGCTTTGGAATCACGAGATCTCCATTATCAGAAGATCTCAATCTGTTTCTGTTTGTAACCTCGGATACTGGTTGAAGCTATAATGACATATTGACAATTTGTAAAACCAAAACCTTCTTCTGTAATTTACAATTACTAATATTGTTGAAAATTTTTTTAAAAAACTTTTTAAAAATCTTTCACCTGCAACCTTCATCATGATGAACCCTGGGTTTTTACCTTCTCATCTAAGCATCGGATATTTTTCAAATTTTGATATGACCATTCGTTTAAGGTTTTATATCAAACTGCGTTTCACCAAGCCACATTCCTTTCATTCAGTTCACTAATTTATATCTTATTATATCTAATTTATATTTATTCGTTTAATTTTGTGTCATAATAATTTTATGACTTTTTTCCAGGCGAGTTCAACTTATTTTTTAGACACAATGTCGTTGCATATAGCTGTTGCAGGTTTGACAAGCTTGCAAAAAATGCTCTTCATGGCTAAAAAATCCGGCAGTAGAAGAAAAGAAGTTGTCAACCACGAGCAGCAAGCCATTCAAAAGTTTAATTTTTCAGTTAGAAAAATTTTTTTTATCTTTTCAATTTGTATTTCATTTTTATTAACTATGTTTGTTTGAACATTTTTCTAGCGTCTAACTTTTTGAATTGTCAATTCTAACTTTTCATGTTCTGGTGTAAGCATGGCTCTATTGATATATTGGACAATAGTTGTTGATTGTAAAAGTCCTCATAACTGCATGTTCTTTGTTTTTTAAACAACTGTCATTGCCGCCTACCTGCTCAGAGCAGTTGCAATCCAACTGAACTCTCACTCTGGATTGGGCATGATGTCACTGATGAATGGTGTTACATTGAACTCTCTGAATCTCTGAAGCTTCATTTGAATGGTTTCCAGCAACACTCATTCGCAATCAACAATTTTAACTACATTTTCAGATTTTAGGTTGGATTTTAGGCTTGTAAATGATTTGGAAGAATTGAGAAGACAAGATGGCAAGTTGAGATTGTGGAGATAAGGACCAGGTAATACAAAGGCTCTCATCATGAGATTATTCTACTGAGATAAGGTGGCTTACACAGTTACCTCAATCTTATTATTTTTTTGCTCCGCAACTCAAAAGTCGTTTTCTATGATCAATTACAACAGAATTTTTTCAAACAATCACAAAAAAATCATCTAGAGCAAATTCTGTTCAAACAACGTTTGACATCAATGCAAATCCTACATGCCCTCTGTCCATTCTAACAAACAAGATTTTTTATCTTTGCATTTAAAGTACTATAGTTCCTTCCTGGTCAATATTGCTTGAGTTACGTTTATTGTTTGAGCAATTTCACTAGCTGATTTCTTTTTTCTTTTGATATTTTTATCATATTATCATGTGCATATTTCTTATCGAATTCGATGATAAAACTTACTGAATATATAATAATTTTAAGTTTTAAGAATCTTAAAAATTTTTAGAAAATATTTTTGTACAGCATAAATAATTTTTTAATAAATTCTTTCTACGTTTTAGTGGGCGGATTGGATGGAAAAAAGTTGTATGAACAACCTGAATGACGTTTACAAATTTTATTGCAAGAAAAAACCGTTGAAGAAACATTTGAGGGATGTCTTCCTGGGTGGAGACGTGAATGATGTCCTCTCAAACTTTCAAGTCAGTCATTTCATTGCACCATTTATTTTTAAGTGCTTCATTAGTTTTTCTTGTCGTTTGCTCATTTTTCTATTTTAATAATTTTATTTAAGAGAGACGCCACGTGGTGTTTTCTGAGTAAGAATCTGTTGCACTTGCATCAACAAATAGGTTATTTAGTCGAAGATAGTTTACAAAAGTTTGGTTACTTTGGTTAAAGTCGAACAAACCACGCAATTCAATTGATTTAATACATGAAGACAGATAAACATTGGCTCCGTGATGCTAATCGTTCATATTTTCTTTTGTTAATCTTCATGTTTCATCATCATTGAACCGAATATTCTTAGAAGTGAAAGCAGACTATGTAATGCTAAACGATGTTTATCTTATACTCAAAGGTGTCACCAAACGTCTGCACACATACGGCTTACTGTCTTTTATAACGAATATAAAATTGAAGAAATCGACTCATTTTTTTTTATATGATAATCGGCATTTGGAAATTTGAATGCAGTCTGTGCAACACGAAACTAGCAGATATTTTAAACCACTACGCCATCTCACCAACCAACATTTCGTGCTTCCATGTTCACTTCTGTCAGTTCTAATCCAGTTTCTGTTGTTGGGTATAACAGCATTTTTTAACTTCCTCCAACCAGAAGAGAGAGAGAGAGAGAGAGAGAGAGAGAGAGAGAGGGAGAGCACATAATTTTATCTCATCTCTTTTTCTCCCTCCATAACAGGACTAAATAATCTTAACACACCTAGCTCAACAACAGCTGGAAATCCAACCCTCGATTTTACGTTTGTTATAAAATGCAGTACTTTATCATATAACCTATTATTCTTTCACTCTATTTTTACTGTAGATCGTACGTTATGTTATCGTATAAAGGAAAAACCGGAACAATAGTAATATTTATTTCTAACTTTTTCAATGCTTTTAAAGTTTTATGTTTTTCATTATGCTTATTTGCTTATTTATATTATGGATCTATACATCCTGAAGATGTTTCCGCTTGTGAAGACAACAAGTAGATAGTTTATTCTGAAGAAAGTTGTTATCTTCTGAACAGTGGGAGATTTGATGAAGGTGCTAAATTATTTAATATTTACGTGCCATTTGCAGGTGTTATGTGATTACTGCTCTTTAGATGTTCGAGCTACTTACGATGTCTTGAAAGAATTGTGGCCAAAATTTAAACAAAGGTATTGACATTGACATTTTTTATCTGAAAATCATGTTCCTAGTGTTTCTAGAATTTGTTGCCTTGACCAAAGATAAATTAAACGTTTATCAGTCCAAAAAATGTTTTTTAAAACTCTGTCAGATTTCCTCACCCTGCCACGTTGGCTGGCATGTTCGAGATGGGCGTAGCCTGTCTGCCCGTTAACGATAATTGGTTCAAGTACATCGGCATGGCGGACAACAAGTACACGGAGATGAAGGACCAGTGTAATCATTTTTTGATCGATGTCGCTAACAAGGTCAAAGATGAGGCCAGCAAGGAAAGGTTCCTAAGTTGCTCTCAATGTTTTGTTGTTTAAAGATTGTAATTTTTATCAGTTGTCTTATTTGTTTCTTTTAATATATAAAAATATATATATATATAACTGTCACAATTAATTTTTTCCATTGAACAGTTTTGTTCTTGATCAATTCATTTTACACTTTAGCAGTGTGATTTTTTAATTTGAATGTTTTATTGGCGTTTTCTGCAGAAAGGTCGTCATATTTTATTTTATAAAATTAGACCTTGAAAAACCTAAAACTGAAATCTTACAAAGATCTCAAATCACAGTGAACCTTTTAAAAAACCCAGCTTTTTCACTCTAGTGCCCTATTTTGGTTGACTTGTCTCCAGATCTTTTTTGTTATTTTTATACAGGCTTAAAATGTTTTGTAAAATTGTTCATGTAATGTTGTTGATGCATTCTTTAACGTCTGGATTACTTTAAACTTTGAACTTGTGTTTCTTTTGCTATGTCCAGTCATGTTGTTATGTTATTGATGATGATGGGCACTCTCCTACAAACTGGCTGTAAGTTTTCATTACATACAATTGTTATACTAGATTTTAAAACATTTTGTTAATATGATAAATAGAATGTATCAACAAGTTTTTATTTTTTTTTTGTATTTTAGAATTGATGTTCATAGAGTTAATTTTTGAATATAATATAATTTTTAACATAAGAACAAAAACATTCAATCTCTGTCCTAATTTTATTCGTTGTTACTTCGCATTTGCTTGAAAATAAATAACTTGATAAACAATTTTCAAGAGAGAAAGATTTGTGGCTCATGGATTTGGATTGGTCGCTGAAAAAAGTAAATAATAAAAAAGTTAGTCTTTAATTTTAATTACTTTACAATTTCAAAAATTTTCTGTAGAACGTAATTTACGTAATATCAATATTATTTTTTAATTTTCTAATCATTCTTAGGTGAGTCACTTTCAAGATATCTGCCTCAGCTCAGCGCCTAACAAGGAATTATATCTGCCAAAGTTGTTTTCTTCTTTTCAAACGTTTTTTAAAAATATATATAATATTGCCACAAGAATCATTACATAAATACAATTTGTTTAAATTATTTCTTCTTCTTTATAATGCCTCACATAGTTCCCAAAAAGGTTTTTGCATCAGGAGTTCTGTTGTATCAAAAATCGTTCTAATGTTAATTCATTGACGTTTGAAATTGGAGTTCTGTTGTATCAAAAATCGTTCTAATGTTAATTCATTGACGTTTGAAATCAACTTTGTTTGTTCACTGAAAAGCGTTTTCAAAATTTGAATTGTCAAATGAGGCGATAACTACTGTTGAAAACAGCTTTTTGATGTTTGTTTTGTAAAAAAGTTTGTAAATATTTGCAAGTTGTACATTAAAGTGTAGTTGTAATTAAGTTGTGATGAAATCATGATTAAGGTAACTAAGTAGTGATTAAATTATAATTAAGTTGAAATTATGTTATATTTAAGTTGGAAATAATTAGTTACCATTACGACGGGTTAAAACTTACAATCAAGATGTCAAGTGAAAATGGATGAAGTTTCCCAATTTATCGTCACGTCATGCAATGTTTCTTAGCCGTCATTTTGTTGTTTTTCTCAATCTACCCCCTCTTTTTTTCTCAGTATTTTCTCTTGAGCAGGTTCATAAATTTGACGTAACAGTGCAGGTGGCAACCTTTCTTATGCTAATGTACGCACGATGTTTGCTTTTGTGATTAAGTTGAAGGACCTGAAAATTTATTCCCCAATCATAGGACATCAGCCCTGTTCATAATATTATTTCATTTTGTGAATAGTTTGCTTTTTAACTGTTTCAAATGTTGCAATTTAATAACTCTTTAGAATACCTGTTCTCAATTACTGAGATTAAAAACTCTTTTATTTTTTTTCATTTGTTTAACATTGTTTATGAAATTATTTATGCTTATTTATTTACTTATTTATTACTTTGAAAAAATTCAAGGTGGTACCACGAACTTTGCACAATTGATGACGAGAAAAAGTTGGTGCTGACTGAACTGACCATGCAGAAGAGGACAGCCATCAAATTATTGAAACTCATGTGGAATGGACACCCTCTCTACTTCAGCAAAGTTCATGGGTGGGGATATCTAGTTCCAAGAACTGATCACGAAAATAAGCAGACAGTTACTCACAGGTAAACTTTTTTACAAATCTTTATATATATATATATATATATATATATATATATATATATATATATATATATATATATATATATATATATATATAAACCTTGAAAAAGCATTTGATCGAGTTCTCCGTGAAGCAATCAGGTGGAGTCTACGTCGACAACTCATTCCAGAATATCTTGTTCGACTTGTGATGGATTCTCAGTCCACTGTTATTTATAACTGTGATGGAAGAAATCACAAAACCGATACGCACTGGTGACATTTGGAATCTAGTATATGCTGATGATATCGTTTTAACAGCCACGTCTGAGCAAAATGCAGCACAGATGTTTGAAGATTGGAACACCAGACTCGCCGATCATGGATTCAAAGTCAACATCAGCAAAACCAAAGCAATGAACACTGGTGAACCCATCCAATCCACAGCTACTGGACGATGGCCCTGTTCAGTTTGTAAAGCTGGTGTAGGTAACAATTCAATCAAGTGTCAGCAGTGTAAACAGTGGTGTCACAAACGTTGTTCAAAAATAATTGGTACTTTATCTAAAGTGTCCAATTTTGTTTGTCCGGCTTGCATCAATCCACAACAACAAATTCGAAATAGCACTGTTTTTGAAGCCATTAAAATAGAGAAAGTCACATCGTTTCAATATCTAGGGGATGTTCTGGATTGTACTAGAACAGCTGAAGCTGCCGTTCGAGCACGCATACGTGCAGCCTGGAATATATGGCATCTCCTTGCCTCTATATTGATGCGGCGTGACATCCAACTACCACTACGATCAAGACTTTATAAATCTGTGATACGTCCGGTGTTGTTATATGGTGCAGAAACATGGCCAATGACAACCAAACTGGAACAACAACTTCAAAGAACCGACATGAAAATGCTCCGATGGATGCAACGAATTAGTCTGAAGGACCACATCAAATCTACCGAAATCCTGCGTCGTGCTGGTTTAGATGATATAAAGGACGAATGCCGGCAACACCGTCTGCGGTGGTTTGGTCATGTCAAACGAAGTGGAAACAGTGCCATAACTTCTCTTGCAGATGTTGAAGTACCTGGCACACGTCCCAAAGGCCGTCCAAAGAAGTCCTGGTCGCAAACAATCGAGCAAGACATGAAAGCTTTAAATTTAAATGAAATGGATACAACTGATCGTCTAATTTGGCGCAAAAAGTTGATGGCAAAGAAAACAACGTCCTACCTCGGGAAACCGGTTCTCTGGATGCAAAACGAAGATTGATTGATTGATTGATTGATATATATATATATATATATATATATATATATATGGTCTGTTTCAAAATATTACCCTGTTTCAAAAATTTTAAATATAAACAACATCCATGTATACTTTGTCTCAATTTCCATGTTTAAATACCTACATGAATTACTTCCACCTTCTTATTAAGATTTTTTTACTCTAATAAATACCATTCATAGTAAGCCTCTAAGACACAATCCTACTTTTTATTCAAATCCAGCCCGAATAAAATTAATAAATATAAGTTTGAAACTAACAGGATCGAAGGTCTGGGACACGGTGATTCCACTTGAGATTAAAGCTCTCAGTCACTTGCATTTGTTTAAATCTAAAATTAAACGCTTCCTGATTCTGAAAAATACTATTTTCTTGAATTAGTAGTGTTAATGTTAATGTTTTGCCAAAATTTGTTACATTATTTATTCAGGGAAGATGAAGTGGATGATGAGATGCCTGTCTGATGGGTTGTGAGGATGTGTCTTTTGATGCAACAGACTTCCACTTCGATACCTATCACACTTTTTTTGATGATGATAATGTTGGTTTATATATACATATAAATTTTGATAATACAATTTCTACGAATACCTTGCTATTATTGAAGGCATTTATTCCACGCTAAGAAACTTCTGCTACAATCAACTTGTGCATAATTTTAGTGATTGAGCCATACAGTATGGAGTTTTCTCTATGTTTTTTAAGTTTTTACTACAAACCATCGTATTTTTTGAGTTATAACAACCAGATGGGAAGAGAGAGAGAGAGAGGAAAAAACATTCCCAGATTTCAGGATTATACAGATTTGAATACTTTAGAAAATTTTAATTTGTATTTAGTTTATATTTATGTATATTTAATAATTCCGACAGAATAAAATTAATTTTAAATGCTTCGATATTAATTGCAGTGATAGAAATGATAAATTACAAAACTGCGTGATTCAGAGCAAAGATGAAAACGACGAAGACCCCACCCCACATCATGACGTTCTACCAGGCTTCCTCTTCTACAAGTTGCCTCATAAGGTGGCATTTTCAAAATTGTATGATTTAGTTATGATGTGATTAATGTCTTTGTTTTTTCTTTAAATTCTCTCTTTGAGAAGATAAAGATAAATATATAGATATGGTCTCCAAAGTGTTCAAAAAGTTAAATCACCTACAATAAACATAAGAAACTCAATAGGCATTTGCAAGGTTCATACTACACTACATCTTGATCTGATCGTGAATGCACGAAATGTCTTCTGATGGAATGCTGTGTTGCGTCCTATTGTGCAAGTGTGTGGTGGTTAAGGGTTCCAAACTAAAACTCGCGTTTGCTATGCATGATTGAGAAGGTTGAGGACGAGGAAGATGTTTTTTTTTACAGTTGCAGAGTTACAGTTGTAGATCGGTGGTAGATCAGAGTGGAATGAATTTTAAAGAGATCAACTCAACGGACAGTTTGTAGAGTCTGTAGTTGTTAAAGACAAAAGTTTTGTTGACGGTGTATGCTGGACTGGATGATGCAGATGTGTATGGGTGACTATGGATGTGTGTGGGTGAGTGTGGATGTGTGTGAGTAAGTATGGATGTGTGTGGGTGAGTATGGATGTGTGTGGGTGAGTATGGATGTGTGTGGGTGAGTGTGGATGTGCGTGGGTGAGTGTGGATGTGCGTGGGTGAGTGTAGATGTGTGTGGGTGAGTATGGATGTGTGTGGGTGAGTATGGATGTGTGTGGGTGAGTATGGATGTGTGTGGGTGAGTATGGATGTGTGTGGGTGAGTATGGATGTGTGTGGGTGAGTGTGCGAGTCCTTGGTTAAAAACAATAGCCATAAAAACTATCATTTAGTCCCGACTCACTAGTTTACTATGTTGGTCCTAGGATCTCGCGCAGCCTGGCATTTGGCGATATTTTCTAATATACAAAAAGAATTAAATTTTGTAATAATAAATAAATATTTTGTTTTATATATATCTCATCGTTTGGATCGCCTGACACTTCGATTTTTCTAGTACTGATATTGTCAAAAAAATGTTGTGTGACCTTATCAATATTTACCAAACGTTTCAACGCAAACCGGGACAAACGGTCTTGTGCCGTCATTCAAATCAACATATTTGGAATTTTTAAAATCAGCTGCTCTTATGGCGGCGGAACCAGGTTCTAATGAAATATTGCTGATATCAAACAACGACCATCAGACCATGGAGTTAGTGTGTATCCATCTGGTCTAATATTCCTATCTGAGATCAGACCGGCAGGCTCTTTTATGGCTGGTATATTAGCTGTTTGGAAAAATCTAATCAAGTAATCATTCATTGCTGAATGCCTAGCCTGCCTGCCGGATCTCAACTTAGATGAAAGGTCATGATAGCTCAAAGAAGAAACATCGGCTCCGCACAGACATCTGTACTCCGAAAGCACTGGTAATCCCAATCTTAGGCATAGACTGACTCTAATAGAGGCGTTGTCAAGTCTAGTGCCGCAAGCAATGCTGGGTACTGCTCTCAGCCACGCAGAACCCAAGTCGCTTTTAACCGCCATCAATCTGGCTTGAATTTAGTGATGAATCATTCATTTTGTCTTGGGATTTTTTGGATTTATTCAAAAAGGGTTCATTCCACTTTTTTTGGGAACAAACATCAATATTAAGTACATCGCCAAAAATGGAGCACCACTCAGCAAACGTTTCATTCCTTAAGTGGTCTTCATATAACCCTGGCCTTCTACTGGCAACATCATATTTTGAAGGATCGCCGTGGCCTCGGCAGACGACAAAAAAGCAGACGGTGCCAAATCAGCCACGATGCCCAAACCGCCCATACAAATGGGCAAAACAGCCTGACACCAGCCTTTATCATCAAATAATATGTTTAAAATGGATTGAAACCCCATAAGAAGTTCGCGTTCGAACATATCTGAAATTTGTTTTGACGGACTAGGGGAAGTTCTTAAAAAATAAGAAAATTTCGGGATAAACGCAGCTTGGGTCAAAAGGATGAGGGCATCATGCTTACTGATGTGCACCATCATCGATAAAACATATTTGAATTCATCTAATTTTTTGACCCAAAAGTCGTCATGACGTTTACCCCTAAAAATGACGGCCCCTAAAAATTGGAAGTCAATTAATTCAGTTTTATTAATGTTTTGTGAAAAATTTCTAAGTGAAGTGGAAAAAGTGGTAATTTCGATTTGTTGATGTTGAGCTTACGCCCATATTGATGGCAACTATTACTAATTAAGTCAATGTCGTCGATCAAAACCTCCATACAACCTCCAAGAGCGATATCATCTAGATATGCGACAACAAATTTTGAACGGAGAGATTTTATTAAGGGGTCGATAGACAGAGAAAAAAGCAATGGACTTACAGGGTCTCCCTGTTGCACACCATCAGCCGACAAGATCGTGTTATTGTCAAAAGAAAGAAATGAATTGGCATTGTAGGCCAACCAGCAAAAGTTGTAAACTTTGGGGAGTCGTGACTACAAAATTGAGCATGTGATCGCGACGGAGGGAATTGAAGGCGTTGGAAAAATCAAGTTTTAGAAAGCCCTCAATCTCTCCCATGTTGCCAACAAAACGTCGGACTGCGTGTATTGCTCCCTCTGCTCCTCCGCTAACACTAACACCAACCTGCTGGGGTTGAAGAATTGGAGCTACCTTCTCCTTAATAGTTAACAAGGCACATTTTGTTACCCAGCATCTCCACACACACCCCACGGCAATCGGTCTGATCCCACCATCCTTTTTCGACAACGCCGACAATCTTCCACCGAACAGATATGGGACAACCCCGGGAGGACAGACGCCACTTAAAAGCAGATTGATGAAACTGGTAGCGGCTCCGTGGTTTCTAATTTTTTATGAGTTGAATCCCCCAAATGCTGAGGAGTTAGAACATCCCTTTCCCCGGATGTTTCTTTTGGGAAACTTTCCAAAAAAAGCATCAGGCGTTGTGCGGTGGATGAGGCCACTTGTAGTTCCTTTACCGGGCCTTGTTTTCCTATGGGCGGAGGCTCGGGGTGCTTTGTCTTTCATGGTATCAAGTGTGTCAACCGAGTTTGGAGCCATTGTATCAGTTGATGATAATATTTTCATGGCGTTCCTGGTGTTGCCTTGCTCCATTTTACACTTGACTAGGGCACCTAACTTTGGCTGACGAGCATTTTTCCTGTTAACTTCTGAGTCAGTTTCAAATGCATTTACCATTTCTTTAAATGGGCCTTTTGTCAAAGCGTCCAGTCTGTTGTTGATTTTGACGCTGATGTTGTGGCATCTGCCTCCGCGGGGCTTTTTACGGAGAACCAAGCGTGGTAGGAATAATAGTTTGAACCACGAAATTGTGTTTGAAGGTTGATCAAGAAGAGCTTTCAAAACATTGGTCAAAGTATGACCGAACTTGCTACGTGATTGCTTAGGTATGTGATCAATCAAACGACAATGGGTAGATTTGTGGAAAAAATTTTCAACGAAGAGAGATTTGTTATCCTCAGCGATCGCCAAATGACTTTCGTTTGAGGCTTGAAGGTGGCTTTTTAAACGACTCCGAACACTCCATTCCCCTCACCTTTCCACCATGTCTGACAAACGTTCCATCCTGCCTCAGCTTAAAATGCTTAAAGCAAACATGACACAGAGCGAGGGAGGATGAGTTGAACGACGAACCTTGACTTGACATGTATTAATTTATTAAATTATTACAATGAGTGATTTTGTTTGATTATAGGATTAAATTATTTTATCAGTTTATAAATATTTTTGTGATTTGTGGCCAAATTTAGAAATTTATTAATAAATGCGCTTTTATATTGCTGAGATTACTGGAATTGATGTATGAAACTATTACAAGGTAAGACCGGCTATCAAAAGTGAATATAAATGCTGTCAAAATGAAAGTGGCTATTGTGGAAAAAGACAAATATAGAACTTAAAACGACGCGAGTGTGGACAACTGGATATAAATGAATAAAATTGTAAATGCAACCAACTGTGGGCCTATTAAAAACACAAGTGTTGACGTTTGTCAACTTGAAATTAATGTATGAAAATGTGAATACAACCAACTAAAGAACTAATAAAAACACAATGGAAATGAATGTGCAACAATGTTAACGATCATTAAAACTAGGCGCGTATGTGTCGCGCGAAAATATTGTGTTTTAAAAATCTACCTATCTATATATTAATATTACACTAAAAAAAAATAAATGAAACAAAGAGAGTATGTAATAAAAAAATTGGATTAAATATTTAACTTATTGAAACCAACCTCCGCAAAAAGAAGATAAAAAGATAAATATGTATAAAAACTCTGAATATATAAAGATAAAAAAAACGAAATATGAAAACTGAATAGAAAACATTATAAAAATAGTTGAAATTACAAAAAAAAATCAAGAGCTTATAAAATCTGCCAGCCCGTGCGACAACCTAAAACCGTAAAACTGTGGGTGAGTATGGATGTGTGTGGGTGAATATGGATGTGTGTAAATGGGTATGGATGTGTGTGAGTGAGCATGGATGTATGTGCT